GATATGACAAACGCCTTTGGGAGCTCGGGCTGGTCCGAATTAGAGATCACTATTGCTCACTCCACCTCGGAGGAGAACCGCGCCCTCTGTCAGCAACGTTACGAGAATAGCATGGTTGAATTAACTGCGGAAGAGGGCCCCCTGTTGGTCAAGCCGTTCCAGGGCGGCGTCATGGGGGGGCCCTTCACTGTGGCCGCGTTCCTAGGTACTTTTTCTCGGGCCACGCTCCAGTGGGCTTATCAGTGGAGTCGATCAGACTCGATGTCCCGCTTCTTGGTGGCGAAATGGCAGGATTTCCAGAGTGGCCTCAGTTTGCTAATATACGCAGATGTTGTAAACAAAACAGCAGTGGCCTCCGACGAGATGGCCCTGGGGGACTTAGTCGGGAAGGTTCATGAGATGGACGAGATTTTCGATTCGGTGTTGCAGCCGTTCGGGTACGTTCAGAACTTGAGGAAGCAAGAGTTTTTGACGTACTTCGCGTCCCAGGGAAATCGCGCCCGACAGATGGTTCGGAAAGGTATCTCGGGCATCCAGGGCACAATCAAGGATCGTGTGCGGTACCTGGGGCCCCACATTCGGGTGCGTGACTCTAGTCATCAGGAGGTCACTAGGAGATGTTCGGCAGCGCGGACTGCATTCTATAGAGTTGGCGGCATCTGGTCGCTGGCGATCCCTTTTAAGCTGCGCAAGCTCTTGCTGGTGGGCAATGTGCAGAATGCCCTCCTCTCTGGCTTGGAAGCGTTTGTGCTCAGCAAGGCCGACTACTGTCGCTTGGACAGTTGCTTGGCCTCACTGGCACGAGTTGCGATGCTTGGTCGCGCCACGCACAAGGGGGGGAACCACGCGAGGTCCCTTTCCCACTCCCAGGTCCTTCTCTATTGGCGACTCTTGGACAGCGAGTGTGAGATGAGAATTCGTCGATTGAAGTGGTGCCAGTGTTGGGCTGCGAGACCCGGCCATCATATCCAGCCGTTGTGCGCGATGTTCGGGGACTTAGAGGGCGATGCAGAGCGTGGTTTCCCACCGCAGTTGCTCGAGGGGGCCCCATCTGAGGCGGCGCCCCCGTGGCTGAGCCAGATGACGCACGATCTCGAGTGTGCCGCAGGTGTCGTCGATAGCGAGGCGATCGATGTGCTGCTTCATGACATGAACGCGTTCATAATTAAAGAGAAGATGGAGGATTTTTGCATGCTAGATATGGCTGTGCTCAGGGCTTCGAGGTCTCGGGTTCAGGCCCCACCAACAGGTTTCCTATTGCCGTCTGAATGGTTTGAGAGACCTCCAGCAGCTCCTGATGGGGATCCACAGCTTAGATGTAGAGCAAGTACGGGGACGGGCTTATGTGGGGCTGCTTTTCACACACGTAAAACATTAATGAATCACGACAGGGCTCATCATAATGCACGTAGTCTAGCACATGTGATCACACCGACAAACATATGTGTGCACTGCAGGCAGATATTTTCGAGTAAGATCACAGCTTGGAGGCATCTCTGGGGCTCAATCCTGAGGGGCAGTTGTTGTGCGACTGGGCCGTGGGCACTGAGGGAGTTACTTCAGCCTCGATAATTGAAGTGTCCATTATGTGATTATGAAACTGGTGATCTCCCTGATGTATGTAACCATTTTGGCTTCTGAGCATATTCCATGGAAGTTGCCTCCATTCAGTGCCGATCATAGTGCGCGTATAGAGCGGCCCAAGATGGAGCTTGCGATGCCATCGTGGTTCAGCGGCAAGAAGCGCGAGGGCGACAATGCAGAGCCGCCCAGCGCTGGAGCAGCATGCAGCGCGACGAGAAGCCGCGCGAAGACGGCCAAGAAGGACGGCGGCAAGGGCGGCGGCAAGGACATGGCGAAGGTCGTGGCCCAGGTCGTGCGCCTGCTGCTCACCGTGACGCGCGAGCTCGGGGACGTGGCGAGCGTCGTGTTCCTCAGGTGGGACATCGCCCCCGATCGAGGGCTTCTAGCGTGCCTGGCTGTGCAAGGCAAGAAGTGCGACGACCAGAGCAAAGACATGAGGGCCAAGCAGGCCGAGGGAGTGGAGCAGGACGTCAAAGCGAGGGGTCCGCCACACATGCACATATTCGTGTCGGCGATGCAGTATTGCGCCACGCGAACTCCTACAGCGGGGTCTACGGAGGAGGCCGAGAAGACACTCAATCAGGACAGCAAGGAATGGTGGACACAGTACATGAGGGAGGAGATTCCGCTGAAGGAGATTGGGAGGGCAGCGCCGTACTTCAGGCGCAAGCCTCTGCGCAAGGAGAACAGGTGTATCATCATGATGAGGACGGACTTCAACAAGCCAATGGGAGTGGAAGCGCCTCGAATCCTGGAGGCGGTGATCGAGGCCGAGGGCGGAGAGTTCCTGCTGGGTTCAGCTCCGAGGGGGCCCATCGAGCGGGAGCTTCTGGCCTGGGTGAACAAGTCCGACGGAGCTTGAGTGCGAGCCCGCGGCTGCAAGAGTTGATTTCGAGAGGATTGGTGGCGCCAGGTGTGCTGGGCCGACCTGGGCGAACTGCTGCAACATGCAGTGACCCTGGGCTGCCGCCTATCCCGACTGTAGTGCTGGCTCGTAGCCGATCGTTGCTTGATAGAGGAAAGGGGGGCGGGGTGGTGGGTCGGAGCGGGGGCGGGGGAGGAGAGGAGCTTCCTGAGCCTGTGGGCTGACGGCCTCTTGCGGGCTGCGTGCCCGCTGGCTTGTCAGACGGGGCCAGTGCCTCTGTTGGGGTGAGCGAAGGTCTCGCCTTAGTGAGTAAAGTGGGGTCCGTAGTGACCCGCCTCAGAGTCCTAGTGCGTGTCGAATTGCAGCTTGAGTTCAGGCAGTGGTGCAGTGCGGCAGGGTGCACAGTCAGGATTCCATGAGTTGGTCTAAGGTCTAAGGTCTCCTGGCAGGGGCCCGACGGTACACCCGCCCAAGAGCGCGCGGCTGCGCGGTGGGTCCATCGCCGAGCTAGCGGCGAGGCGTCGCCGATTCGAGCTCGACGCCTCCTCCCCGAACCTCCTCCTCCTCCTTCTCCCCCTCCTCCTTTTCCTCCTCCTCCTCCTCCTCCTCCTCCTCCTCCTCCCCCTCCTCCTCCTCCAGTCTCCCCCTGTTGTTGCTCCTCAATCGCAGGCGGGGCCCCCTTTTGGCGCCAGGCGGCGGGCAGGGGGCCGAGGGAGGAGGGCGGAAAGGGGGCGGCCTCATCGCCGCGCGGATTGGTTCCAGAACGTTACAGCAGCCGCCAGGGTGGAGTGAGGTTGGTTTGCGACATGGGGCTCTCGCTTGAGGCCGCCCTGGAAGTCAAACGGCCAGATGGTGGAAGACATGAAACCATTGCACGGTTCAAGGGATGCGCTCTCAAAATGGGGCTCTCGCTTTAGCGTCCTTCAACTCAGCGGTCCGACGCGTGGAACAGTTGCACGGATGCGGGGCGGCTCCTTTCCAATGTGGGGCCTCGCTTGACGCCTCGCTGAGCGGTATGATCGTTCCCGTGCGCTCTTTCCAATTCGCCAGAAGGATGCAAGGCACTGTTTTTTTCAACACGGGGCTCTTGCCCGACTGCCTGGCACACGGGGTGCTCGTCTTTCACGGGGGCGTCTCGTGTGGCGGAAAGGAACGCGTGCATGGATGTACGAAGAGGGATCTTGGGAAGGAGAGGTGTGCTGCAGCGTCGTTGATGTATCCCCTTTGGTTGACTCCGGTCCTGCTCGTTCTCCTCCTCCTCCACGCTCCTCCTCCCTGCTCCTCATCCTTCCCCTTTCTCCGTTCCTTCCTTGTATATAATTCTTCCAGTCGCGTCCCGACGCGTGTCGGTAGGGCGGGCCGGCCGAATCGCCTGAGGTTCTTTCGCCATTTCTATGATTATTCTGTGTTGGTAGGGCCTGCTCTAAGGCTCTCGCCATAGCGCCGCGCGCATTCATCTCAAAAGTGTGCAGGGGCTTCGCGGATGCTTGGCGGGCCGTTTTCAACATGTGGTTCTCGCCTACGCGCCGCGCGCATTCGTCTCAAAAGTTTGCAGGAGCCTCACGGATGGAGGGCGGGTGGTTGTCATAATGTGGTTCTCGCTTTGGCGCCGCGCACATTGGTCTTAAAAATTGTGCAGGGCGTTCTCGGATGAACGGCGTGCAGATTGCAACATCTGGCATTCGCGTAAGAACAGCGCGCATTCGTTATGAAAGTTTGCCATCGTTTCGCGGGAGGAACGCTGGTGATTTTCAAAATGTGGCTCTCGGTTTAGCGCCGCGCAAATTTGTTGTAAACGGCTTTGCAAGAGTTTCATGGGTGTGTGGTGGGGGGAGGTCAAAATGTGGTTCTCGCTTCGGCGCCGCGCAGATTCCTTGTAAAAAGGTTCCGCCAGAGTTTCACGGATGGAAGGCGGGTGGTTTTCAAAATGTGATTCTCGCTTCAGCGACGCGCCCACTTGTTTCAAAAGTTTCCCAGGGCTTCACGGATGGAGGGCGGATGCTTTTCAAGATGTGGATCTTGCTTCGGCGCCGCGCATTTTCGTCCTTGAAGCTTGCAAGAGTTTTATGGATGGACGGCGGGAGAGACCAAAATGTGGTTCTCGCTTGGTTGTGAAAAGGTTCTGCAAGAGGTTCACGGACGGAAGGCGGGTGGGTTTCAACATGTGATTCTCTGCTTAGCGCCGCGCCCATTCGTTCCAACCGTTAACAAAAACTTCACGGATGGAGGGTGGGTGTTCTTCAAAATGTGGATCTTACCTTGGCGCCGCGCACATTCGTCCTTGAAGTTTGCAGGAGCTTCACGGATGGAGGGTTGTTATCAAAATGCGGTTCTCGCCGTAGCGCCGCGCATATTCGTTTCGTAAATGTACAACAGTTCTACGTGCTCTTATGGTTGACGTGTCAGAAGTGGTGGTCTGGCACGATTGAGGATTGTCAGGTCTCAGCAGTCAAGGTGATCCGTGGTGTTGAGGTCGCAGAAACGGTGTTCTGGCGCGACGCAGCATCGTCAGGACGCGACAATGAGGTTGCTTCGCGGCGCTGAAGTCCAAAGAGTGGTGTCTTGGCACGATGGAGGATTCTCAGCCAGTTGTCTTCCCACGGTGCTCTTTCTGGAGAAACGCGGCGCCCCCAGGGTACTGCCATTCCCTCCCCTGTTCTCATCCCTGCTCCCTCCTCCTCCTCCTCCTCCTCCTCCTCCTCCTCATCCTACTGGTCACTGCTCCATCCTCCCTGCTCCTCTCCTCGCTGCTCCCTCCTCGCTGCTCCCTCCTCCCTGCCTCCTCCTCCTCGCTGCCCTTTCCTCCCCCCTCCCTCCGCCTCGCTGCTCCCTCCTCCTCGTTGCTTCCTCTCCCTCCTCCCTCCGCCCTTGTGATCCGACGTCGCGAAAAAATGCAACATCGCGAAAATTCACGACCAACCCTGGCTCCTGATCCGCCGTACTTTGGATGATTTTCCGACCTAAAATTGTGTCGGAAATCGACGCCAAAGGAGCCTCAAGGGCGGAAATCGACGCTCAAAGGGGCCTCAAAAGTAGGGCGGAAATTTCCGCCCTACTTTCGAAATTGCCCAAAGTAGGGCGGATCAGGAGTCAGGGAAGGCCCTAGACCCATCCTTTAGTGGCATTTCCCAGGCCGCCTCCATGCGCGATAGCCGGGGGGAAAAGATTGCAACGCCCAGATCACAGGATCCCTCCCCCCTTTGTTTTTGGGGTCGCAGCTCGGGTCTCCGGCGGCTCCTCCTCCTCCTCCTCCTCCTCCTCCTCCTTCTCCTCCTCAATCCTCCTCCTCCTTCTCCTCCTCATGTTCCTGCTCCTGCTCCTGCTGCTGCTCCTCCTCCTCCTCCTCTTCTTCCTCCTCCGCCTGCTCCTGCTCCTCCTCCTCCCCCTCCTCCTCCTCCTCCTCCTCCTCCTCCTCCTCCTGCTCCTGCTCCTCCTCCGCCTGCTCCTCCACCTCCTGCGCTTCCCTCCTCCGCCCCCTCCTCCTCCTCCTCCTCCTCCTCCCCTCCTCATCCTCCTCCTCTCCTCATCATACTCCTACGTCCTCCTTCTCTTCCTCCTCCTCCTCCTCCTCCTCCTCCTCCTCCTCCTCCTCCCCCTCATCCCCTCACCAGTTCGGGACCCGAAGTTCGGGAGTGGGGGATCTGGCGGGGGTGGATGGGCGGGGGGGGGGTGCGGTCCTCACTCTCCCCTGTTCCTTCCCCTCGCCTCCCGCCCCGCGGGCGGCGGGCTTTCTGGGTAGCGGGCCACGGTTGCGCACGGGCGGCGTGTTGCGTGGCCTCGTCGCGCGCGGGCTTTGGTGGTTGCTCCTCCTCCTCCTCC